AATTAGACATTTTAATCAATGTCAATCTCAAAAATGTATGAATTTACCAGCATAATCATAATATAAAAAAGATATTTTAAGCAAAAAAGAAATATTTGAACGTCAATTCTCATATTTCTTTGTTTTAGGAATTATAGTGTTACTTTATAACATACCAATTTCTGTTCTACTAAATAATGGTTTATGAAAAAAATCTGCATTCAGTAGTTTTAGATAGAAATATATTGGGAAGCCAATAATACAAATAATACACAAAAATGGTAACGAAATTATCGAAATTATCAACCATAAAAAAATGGACAGTACAACAGTTCACAAGAACTGTCACCAGCTGACTTATTTTTCGATAGGATAAAATAATTATAATACAAAAGCATTATAGGGAAAACAGATGTATGGACTAAAGTACATACTATTTTGATAGTTTTGATAGTTGTCTTATTGGCAATCATACTACATCTCTTCAGTGTACGTTTACACCAGGTAAAAATCAAGAGGTAAGTTGGAAACTTTAGACCTAGACTTAAACTACATTAGTATGCAAAAACATATTGTTACCTGATGTAATCATGTTCCAGCCAATAACGTTCCAGTAGAAAGTCATTGTAAAAAAATGGATGGAAATAAAGCTGAAGACGTCGTTACTGCATATTGTATATTTGAACATGATGGTGGACAGATACAAACATCCTTCGTCTTGCTGCTTCCATAAAATTCCACTATGAAATTAAGAAATACCATTAAACCGCTGCTGTGAAATCATCCTAATCATTAACCGTGGCTTCTCTTTCAAGAACCAACGCTTCTTAAATCGGTAGCTGAAATGGTGTCACCAACTATAGTCCATTGTTTTACTTTGTTCGTTTAGTTTAATTTAGTTTGCCAAATAGTTGCTTAATCTACTGTTTCTGTCTACCATTGAAAATATATTAGAAATTTATCTTCGTCTTTAGAAATTATTATTTGCCCTGGCAGGGATTCGAACTCCCTCTTTGGGGTCCACCATGAACACATCCACAAAGAAACCTCTCGGCTACCAATCAGAAGATATTAAAATGTCAATTTCATAAATATCGATAAGATATGGTAAAATGTATATAGAACTTCCACCTTTATATTATATATATATATATACGAATATTGTATACTGTAAGTAGGCAGCCGTTATGTTATCTATAAGACGAGCTGAGAGTAAAATTTGTAGCCAACGGTCGAATATCTGTTTCGGCTTGTTTCATTTTTCAAAATGTTTGGGTAATCAGTGATATTTTTCAAATAATTATGGATCACAGTTTGTTTTATTTGATAATTATCGAAAAATTCGAAACAATTTGGACTAAAATCTGTAGTATGTTGTTTTTAATATCCAAAAATAAATATTTACTAGATTCATTGAGATGGCTGGACGACCGTTAAGCTCTATTGGCATTGCTTGTTCTCGTGATGTAGAATATGATGAACAAGTTATGCCAAAACAGATTATAGAAATATTTGGTAAACTATACGAAGAAGAATCGAGGCAAGACTTGGATCAGTTGTCAATAACTGGGAGATGGCAGGCACATATTGTTATAAAACATCTATTTTTAGTAAACCAGGTATTGTATGATTTTATTTTACTTATGTTACTGACGAAAAAAACAAAAGCTTTGAAAACGTTAAGAAATAACATAATTATTCCTTTGCACGAAGATTTATATTTTCGAGTATATTGTAATTACCATAATATAGGCTACTTTTAAATAGATAACTTAAAAAAACCTGGCAAGTGCACATTTACATAATACTTAAATTATAAAAAATCATAGTACTCTGTAAATGTCGTTTCAGCATACTTGCTTAGGACTTCAAGATCTTCTATTGTCATTGCAAATTTCGGATTAGAGCTAAGTTTATTATTTAATTCATGTCATGGAATGTTCTGTTACTCAACGAAGGTCGATATAATACAAAGAGAGCTTTACAATTTCCTTAATTCATCAAACTGACGACTATGAATAAATATTTACAGTGTAAAATATATCAGGCTAAATAATAAATTGTTACAAGTAATTTGACAGATAGTGAATTTTATTTATTTATTTATCCTTTTTTTCATTTATTTATTTATTTTGTGTACCTTTATGGATAGACCTCATTGCAATGTTTGTGTATAAATACATATATACATGTATTATTTTTAGAATTGCTTTAAGACCTGTCAAAAAATATCGGACACTCAAACAAAAGATCTGATGTCAGCTTCGTTTGTTGATGTAGAAGACTCACAGGTAACTAAACTAGTACTATCGCAAAAACGTATCTACCTCTTCACGGAAAACGTTGTTTAGCTGCTACCTCATATCTTCCTTTAATGTGACACTCTCGTGGTATATCGTCCATTAAAAGTGTTGCTAATTATTCAAGTTCTAATGGAGGACAACATTTGAGTGACTTAAGAACGGTCCAAAACTTGTATTCAAGTTGTACCGATAACCTAGTTACATATGAAACTGATAAAGTATAACAATACATTAAATTCCTTCAAAATCTATAACTTGATTCCTGAAAAAAATATAGTTTCATAACAATTTTAAAAAATCAGTCAAAATTGTAAGCGCACTTGCGAAGAAAACAAACATGTTACCTCTGCATATTACATTATATCTGAGAATGCTAGTAACTTCTTATAGTATTGTCAGCGGCATTAAGCAGAAATGAAACAAGTTAGGGAATTTAGGAAGTCCACATCAACTATGTGCGCTGTCAATTTGCAAAAGGTATGGCAGTTGTTCAAAATACAATATTTTCAATATTTTTTGTATGCAATTCTTCATGTGCTGTCAGGCTACTGTACAGTTATATATTTTTCACCATATTTCTACTTTGGAATTTCCCGTTATACGATTTGTTTTTTAGAACAAAATGGCCTGACGATGTCTGTCTGATCCCATTCGCAGTCATGAACACAATTATGATATTTAGAACCGACCGATGCCTTGTATTATGATAATTTTGACATTAATAGTTAAAAGAATTTCGGAACAAATCTACGTTTGTTTTAATTTTACTTTCAGATATATTGATGATGCCCTATCACTAAATAACCAACATTTCAGTCAGTACTTGAATCTCATATATCCCAGTGAACTTGAAATTAAGGATACTACTGATACTAGAAGTACTGCTTCATAAAATTGAGAATGGAAATCATACCTTGATTTTTTCCTAAATATTGACACAGATGGACGACTTCTCACTAAAATCTATGACAAACGGGATGATTTCAACTTTCCAATTATCAATTCCCCATTTCATAGCAGTAACATACCCTCTGCTCCGTCGTATGGTGTTTACATATCTCAATTGATACGTTATGCTCGTGCATGTTCACACTATACTGACTTCATATACAAGAAAATAAGCAGAAACTGCTCCAACAGAGTTATGAGGTGGAAAGATTAAAAATGACACTCAGTAAATTTTATGGACACCATCACGAATTGGTTGATCTATATAATGTGTCTGTGTCTAAACTAACTAATGACATTTTTACTACGTCTTAGGTTGTGGTTTAACATTTATGTCGTCTGTCTTCTAAGTACCGAACGTGCCGTGACCTATTCCCGAATATGACTGTTTTGCCGAGTGTGCATTTGCATTGCTATACGACGTGTTTCGGTATTTATATATCCAACATTCATGTATTTATCTATAATGTTTCTGTTTTTGTTTCGGTTAGATATTGTGTTATGTCTTATCGTTTGTGGTTTGAATTCTGTATTTTCGGTACATTTCACATATGTTTTATTTGTCAGTATAGTCGAGTTGATTTCCATTTTTCATGGATAAAGTATTTTGTTAGTCCAAAAAATTATAACGTCGTAACAGCATTTATTTAAAATAGCCTTTCAATACCGTCATAGTCATGATAATTGTTTGGACTAGTATTGTGAAAATAATTGTATGAATTTCAAGATTATATATTCGTTACAAAAATACGTCAATGTTTGTGATGTCCTATGCTGTCGTTAATGGAAGATGTTCGTTGTTATTCTGCGGTTTACATGTTGTAACGACTATTGTATTATTCATTTGTGCGTTTCTCTGTGGTGAGTGTTCTTGCGTTTGTTTGTGCTGTATTTCTGTCACGTAGTGTTGTCATTTTAGCGATATTTTTTAACACTGCCATATAAGCGGGAGGTTTGGGTAGCCATTAAACCAGGTTCAACCCACCATTTTGTTTTTAAAATATCCTGTACCAAGTCAGGAATATGGCAGTTGTTATCAAATAGTTCGTTTATATGTATGTGGGCAGTTTTTTTTTGTTGCACTTCAGTGTTTCTGTTGTTTCGTTGTTTTCCTCTTGTAGTTGATGTGTTTCCCTCGATTTTAGTTTGTAACCCGGATTTGTTTTCTCTCAATCGATTAATGACTTTGAACAGCGGTATACTACTGTTGCCTTTATTTGAATCAAAATATAAAGCAATCAAATCAATTCGATATGTTGAGTATGAGTGAGGTTTTCAATGTATAAATATAAAATTAAAAAAAAGAACAACCGTTAGACACAATATGAATCTGCTTGACATGTTTCTTGCGCTCATTTGCCAACAGAGAATAATATTATGACTCGTAGCTGATACTGAACCGTATCTGGATTTATTCACATATAATTCTGATAATGTATACATCCAACTTAAAATTAAGATACGTCTACTGTATAGAATAGAGAATGGAAACGGGGAATGTGACAACAACCCGACCAAGAGCAGAAAACAGTCCAAGGCCACCAATGGATCTTCAACGCAGCGAGAAAATCCCGCACCTGGAGGCAGGCTTCAGTTATTCAGTATCTCCAAATTTATGCAATAAAAACGTACAAAACGTGGAAAGGGGCACAATCAAAGAAAGTATTTTCCACCGAATGTATTACACTTTCCAAATCAATTCTTAAATTTTCTGTAGCATTCTTTTTTGGTAAGTATATTGTAAAGGCTTTAATTCAATTTTAATTGAAGATAATAGTTGATAAACCAGAGTTTCAAGCAAATCTTCTAAAATGGACCAGAAAGATCATGATCTCCTTTCAGAGATTTGAAAAACTGTGGACAATAATACTCAAATATGTCTACTTGTCTTGATAAATTAATGTAATTGCAGCTTCTCATCATTGCTATAAGTAGACAAGTGTGGTTACTTGAAATTTGTAGTTGTGATCAGTTTTTTCTGTGTTCAAAACTACTCCACTGTGACAGATAAAAGGGTTAATACCATGTAATTTTTATGTAGATCTTAAAGCTGTTCGAACTGCAGAAAACTAATCTAGCAGCTCAGTACTTTGGTACTGACATGACAATACGAATATTGTTGATGGAAAGTTGTTGTCTATAGATCTTAGAAAATCATAGCTCTGATTCCATCTACACGTTTGGCTTTACTTTGTGCTTTTTTCAGTTAAGGCAACTCTTCAATATTTGTATTACTTTTTGGTTTTATAATATATTTGGGTTCAAGCACTGAACAAATTTTTAATTATCGAATAGACATATGTTGCATCAAATTTAGTACCGTTTTATGTTTTTACTATTGCAAAATATAACCATGAAACTTATTAATTTTTAAGTACATATTAGTTGTTAAAAATACAAAAGATTTGTTACCCCAGGAAAAGAGTACCATAGTTATCTGTATTTGGCAAAACTTTTCCATATTTTGTGTCCGCAACACTCTTTAACTTCGTAATTGGTGTGACCTTGTAGGTTTTTTTTTTATCCGTGTTTTTTTTTTTATTTGTTTCATTGTCAATCATAACCCACAACGAAATGTTGTCGAAAATTGGGAGAAGAGTAAAATTTGGCATTCACTTCCGAATGTAAAATCTAATTTATCAGGCTATGAAGAGTTAGACTTAGTATTCTTTCTATTTGTTATTAGGGCCCGCCGATTATCCAGCGGAAAATCTATAATAATCAGATTACCCGTCCATTCTTTCGTGTTTACGTGAGTGTGACCATCCAACACAAACTGATTCTGCCCTCTAGAAGTTAGGTAAAGAAATTTGGCATGATTATAAAGCACTGTTAGAAGGTGTGTTGCGTTTAAACAATGAATGTAAAAGTCATGGTGAAAAACGTAGTTAAACTTAGTCACCCCTGTACAAAAATCGTGTTCGCTTTTCATCTTTAAAACCCCTTGGTGTTAGGTAATGAAACTTGGCATGATCATTCACCACTACTAGAAGATGTGCTGAGTACAAGAAAGCAAACCGTATAATTAAATCGTGGTGAAAACGTTAGTTCAACTTAGTGGTGCATTAGTAAAATCTCTCGAATCGAAATATGAAACATAACGCAAGCTCACACATTTATTTACACAAGCTAACACATTTATGTACAACATTTTGAGGTATAAATGAGGTCGTTCTTGCAATAAGCGGCGTGGCCACTGTCAATTGGTTGACGATGCTGCCAGGTTAAGTCCAGGCAAGAATATTTACCTCTTTTCAGTGTCTGTCCCGTGGTGCAATAACACTTTATAATAATGGTTAGTTAGGGTAAGGTTAGGGAACGGGATATGTTGTCGATTTTTGTAAGAAATTGCTATCCACTCAGTAATGTTGCACTTTTAGCCGCAATACTGTTATTTATTCCCCGATGGCGAAATCAGCGAATGTTAAGTTTCAGTTATGTAGTTTGTCCAAATAGTGGAACATGAACTGAATTTTTCAATGTAATTTTTTCTCTATCGGTTAAATCTTGTTTATCCTATAAAACTCTGTTTTCACTTTAGGTAATGTACCGACGGTTTTTGAATATGATGATGTCTAAGGATTAGAGAAGACACATTTGTCAGTTCTATACGTTGTTCTTAATAAGAATATTCAATGTGTTTTATCAAGAGTAACACTGAGCGGGTGTCACTATTGGAGTCCCGGTTTTCGTTGGGGGTAAGATATATGTCATCTTTAGTTTTCTGTAAAGGATTTTGTGAACTGTCGTTTTCCTTTGGTCATGGGGTTATCTGTTTATATAAATACTTGTTTAGACTGCAAATAAAATCTTCGGAAAACTTTCTCGACTGATTTCTTAGATTTGTTTCTCAAATCGATGAGTGCATGGATTTGGTTTTTTTTTTTTTTTTTTTTATTTGTTTGTGTTATTTGAGACCCAAATAATGCCAATGAAAATATAACATAAAAGTCAGAGTCAGCCTTTTCCTGCCATTTTAAAAAAAAATAACTATCTCAAAAGGAGCTCCGTAACCTTTCAATATTTTTAGCTTATTTTGTTCCTTAACTAATGCTTTTCTGACTAAAAATATCAATTTTAAATTCTAGATTCTTTTTAAATCACCTAAGTACATCCTTAAGTGTATTGATGAAAACCGTCTTTTTGGTGATGTGTCGTAAATTGTAATCTGTACTGCCGGTACCAAATACATCAAAATCAAGTCAGAGGCTCACTGCTTATTTGAAGATTTCAATTATACGAGAATACTTATATACAAATATATATCTCTTTTAAAGGCAGTCTTTCAATTATATTATAACCAGAAAAAGTTATAGAGATAACATTTTTTTTCGACTTTAACTTTAAATTTAACAAGCTGAAGCTGTATGCAAATCTCATAAAATCTAAAACATAATAGATTGACCCTAAACCACATCGGAAATGATGTTCAACACAATATATTTGTATCTGTATAATACAAAAATCTACGTTTTGAATTAACACAAAACAAACAAAATACCTGTTAAACCAATATGATAAAGCGCAGTGAAGACATAAGATAACGTGAGATATAATGCTTTCAAAGGTAATTATGAGTTATGTAAAATAATTTTGTTTATTTATTTAAATAGTAATTATTATTATTTCATTTTCTTTTTTAAACTTGTTTAATTACTTACATTACACATGTACGAGGTGTTCATGATAGCAAATTCAAAATAATGAAATGTAATGCTACATGTAGTTCGAGCTCAGAAATTCGGTTTAATATATTCATCTGAAACTGATTTTACATAGAACTGTATTGCTCAAAATATCCGTAAGCTAGGTGCCAGTGTTTTCCTTAATAAAACAAAAAACTACCGGTCAAATTGTCCGTTTCAAGCAGTTTTCAGGCTGGTTTAAAAACTGACATTCAAAAAATGATACAAATATATACTGACGTTGTTTATCATCTTAATAACGTGTTATAGTATTCTTTTATTTTTCTTTTTGAATATTACTTTTACTGCTTAGTCTATTTTTGGTGTTATTCATTTGACGTGGCTCGGTACTTATACATCCCGTCATTGTGTTATTGTGCTATGGTAAATTTTTGTATTCTTGTCTTTCAATTTTGCTTATGTGCTTTGTCTATATGCCTTTTTGTGTTTATTTGTTACATATTTGTTTGTTTTCATAGTGATTAAGATTATAACACAATGTTGACTGTTGTACCCCTATTTTGACATTTTTATCTATTATGTCTGTTTGTTTTGTTCACACATCTTTGTCAATATAATGGAATTTTATGCGACTGTCATACAAGTGAGAGGTTTAGCTAGCTATAAAACCAGGTTTAATCTACCATTTTCTACATTAGAAAATGCCTGTACCAAGTCAGGAATGTGACAGTTGTTATCCATTCGTTTGATGTGTTTGAGCTTTTGATTTTGCATTTGATGAGGGACTTTCCGTTTTGAATTTTCCTCGGAGTTCGGTATTTTTGTGATTTTACTTTTTATATATATATATATATATATACAGTGTATAACTTTAAACAAAATATTGAGGTTAACACTTTGTTGAATGACAGACACGTTGATTAACTTGTATTACGCAATAAACAGCGAGCAAAATCATATTTACTAATAGCTTTTATGTACTACTTCTTTGTTTACAACGGCACTTTTAAGTATTTTATTCGACATGGTTTGATTCCTTGTTTTTTGACTGAATTTATCACTAAAATCGAGAGGATAAGGGCAACCAGTGTTAGAATCATGAAAAGACATTTCATATACGACTTTAATTATGCCGACGGTGTCTTCAACGCTAAGATTAGGCGCATTGCCAATTTTTACAAAATCCAATCTTTCATTTCCGCCACAAGGTTATATATCATTTGCGAAAAAAAAAAAAAAAAAACATTTGCGCCATTTTACAGGTAACATATAGGGGGAAAGATAACAAAATGCTTCTAAATGAAGATAAATCATTTCATGTTGTCTCCGATTTAGGACCAAGGTCATGTTGGCATTTCAACATGACTTCAAAAGGTAAATAAATTCGATTTCGAAAAAAAGTGTGTTTAGAGTATATTTATTTTCGAAATTTATTTATCTGGTATTGACAATAATTTATGTGCTATATTAACACATCAACATCTATTTTCGCAGATTATGGTATTTTGGGCAACTGCAAAACCTTCAAAATAAGGCTGTTTCAAGAACAATATGCATATATTGCATTATGAAATTATGATAAAATATCCTTGACCTAGAAACTATACATTGATTTGAGTTTTGGTCATATAAATAGCGATCATCCAAGATATATTTTACATTTATTAACATTTTTGCATTTATGGAGGATTTTTCAAGAATGGCAATTTTTTATAATTATTGCGCATCTAGCCTCTTAGTTTTTTGTTTGATTTATAATTATTGTTTCCCGTTCTATAAGGTGGTTATGATATTTTGAGAATTTTTAGCATACAATTACCAGAAATTGGCATTTTGTTTAATTCTAGGAAACAATTGGAGTGTTTATTCTTGACCTATGACATTGATTTTACGGAAATTGCACAATACGATTTTTTTACGACCGGGCAAAACAGAACGTACAGATAACACGCTTTCGAATGATATATAGTATAGCCGTGTTAGATGGGTGCATTAAAGTCCTGAACTAAGACCCTTTGATGGAAAATGTCACTCGCCTATAAATAAATACAGTAGCTACACAAAGAAATACACACAAAATAACACCTAAATAAAGTCAAGTATAGCAATCCAAAGGTTAAACACTGTGTAAATAATTATCATTGAAATTCATATAAAAATAAAGGTACTGATCATTTATTAGTACAAAAATGACTGTATTTAATCGAAGACTATTGATTTTGATATACCTTCTTCAAGTTCCGCTAT